TGCATTTCTGAATAACATACATCTTTTAGAATTTTCAGTTATCTGCCTGTTAAATACTGTGTACAGCTGTCAATATTGTCAATTAAAATTGATGTTTCCGTAATTATCCATTTTCAATAATTGCATTTTCAGGAAGCATAGATATTTTTATTCCCCCCCATTTAGTTTGGGTATAGTTCATGCTGCTCTGGGGCAGCTACTATGTTCTTCTATGCTTGCAATGATTTTGTTACATAACATACATTTGTAATAAATATCGTAATATTTAAGATCTTGTAAGATCCAGCTGTTAGATTTTATCAGGCATGAAAGTTTTCCACGTTTTCGCGGAATTCCGCTTTTTTTAATGTCACCTGGGCTGTTCCTGAGATCGATGCAGAACCATTGAGAAATCGCGACCGGCAAATGTGGGGGCGGGTAAACAGAGGACATGCTTTCTCTCTTCCTCTTTTCTTTGTAAAAAAAACTTTACATCATGCCAGAGATCGTGAAATGCGTTGTTTCACATCAAGGCGAAGTAAGTGGGGCTTATGTGGAAAGGCGGAACTAGATGCGTACGAATATTGAATCAAAGAAGAGCAAGCAACCATCAAACGAGAGCTGTGTTGGACATACGGGGATACCCTACTGATGTTATTCAGAGCACGTGCGAGTTTTAGCGTGTGTAAGCTGGCATACTGTAATTCAGAGCGCAGATCGTTACGTTATTGCTCTATGTAAAAATCCAGTACACTGTAAAAATTTAAGGAATGCTCATAAACTGTACAAAGAAGAACTAGAGATAAAAAAGGAGGAGCAAGAATCTAAAAAAAAAAAAAAAAAAAAAAAAAAAAAAAAAGCAATTAAACATTGCAGAAAATAAAGAAGAAAATAAAAAAGTATCAATGGATTGTATAAAAGCTGCTGAAAACTGAAAAGAAATTGAGACTAGCTCGGAAACGGAAATTAGAAAAGTTGGCTGCAAAAGTAGCAAAAAAGAAAAAGCTTTTTCCCTAAAAATTTTTAATCAGGATCAAGTGAGACTGAGACAAAATAGTTATTTTTTTATATTCCTCCTTTAACTATATGTTGTTTTGTAACTGTATTATCTCACATGACTACTTTTTCTGCTGTTATATAAAGTACTGTTTATTGAACTAAAAGTGAAGATAATTGAAAGCTATAGTAACAGTTCTATATATATTTATCTCTAAAACTTGTCATTGCCTGAAAATGGACAGTAATATATAACATAAATATGTATATTAGTGTGTTGTAATGTTGTGTACAGTATTCATGTATCAACTGTTAAAGAGCATCTTAAAGAAGGTTAATTTATTATAATCTCTTGGTGATTTACTGATTTTTTTTTAACAAGTGGAAGATAAAATTAATTGCAAAATAGTAAGTACAAGTATTATTTTAGTTTAATTATATGTATATGTTTAATACTTTTTATATTAAAAGGTTGATATTTTATAAAAATGTGTTTTTTTCAGGTCGCGTGTGTGCATTTAGTTTTTGTGTCTGCGCGTTGTTCAGCTTTTCTTGCCAACTTGCACTTTCATACCTGATTTTATTCAATTTATATGCTCTTTTCCAGCACCATTAAGAAATCTTGTAACTGAAACTTACGAGGGCAATCCCCCAAAAAAGGTCTCCTATTTTTTGGGGACGTAGAGAAAGTTTTAATATGGTTGTTGGCAACACTTTGTGAGTGGTGCCTTCTCTGCTACCACATAAGCACGCAGGCGCTTCGCTCGGATGCTCTTCTTAGCTTGGCACATTTCGAAATGGAGCTCTCGATAAACGTACTGCAAGTGGCAAAGTGCGCGCAGTTATCGATTTTGAAGCTCAAAAGGCGTTAACCGGTTGAAATTCACCGCCTATTGACGGAAGTGTATGGACAGTCGTGCATGGTTGTCAGAAACGTTCGCCTGCTGGGACAACAGTCAACGCTGACAGGTACTGTGAAACACTAAAGAAACTCAGAAGGGCAATTCAGAACCGGAGAAGAGGGATGTTGAGCAAGGGTGTAAGCATTCTCCACGAGAACGCCCGTCCTCATGTTGCCCGTCAAACCGTCGATCTCCTTCCAAATATTGGTTGGAACGTCATCACACACCCATCCTACAGTCCGGACTTGTCACCCAGCGATTTCCACCTGTTCCTTAAATTGAAGGAACATTTGTTTCGACGCTGGTGCTGCTCCGATGATGGGGTGAGATGATGTTCAATGCTTCCTGAAAGGCATGGCGGCAAGCTGGTATGACATGGGCATTGTAAAACTGCCACAGCGTCTACAAAAATGCATCAACCGAAATGGCGATTATGTTGAAAAATAAAGCATTCTTCAATTTTTAAAGTGATGTAGCAATTATAGAAAATATACGGTTCTTTGTATAAGGGCGAGTCAAATGAAAGTGAGCCAATGCGAATATATGACAAACAGAGTATTTTATTTAAAGTTAGTCTCCATGAACATTGAGACATATCCCATTGACAAATGAGCGCGTGATCGCGTCTCATAAATCCTTGGGCTGTCATTCAAAGTCCTGTAACCGACTCTTCACAGCGTCGTCCGACACGAATCTGGTACCCTTGAGATGTTTTTTCAGTTTCCCGAAAATGTGAAAGTCGCATGGCGACAAATCTGGGCTGTATGGAGGATGTTGCAGCGTGTCCCACTTGAACTTTGGCAGCTGTGTCTTAACCACATCAGCGACGTGGGGATGAGCATTGTCGTGTAGCAAGATCACACCATTCGTCAATCTTCTAGGTCGTTTGTTCTTGATTGCGACACGCAGCTGATCCAGCGTTGCACAATATCGTGAACTATTGATTGTCTCTCCACGTTTAGCAAATTCAATCAGTAATGGCCCCTGACGATCGAAAAAAAAAGTCAATAGCACCTTTCCTGAGGAAATGACAGCCTTTGCTTTCTTCGGGGGTGGTGATTCAATGTTTCCACTGTAAGCTTTGCCGGCATGTTTCAGGTTCGTAGTGGTGGCACCATGATGTCTCCAGTCCAATTGCAGACAAGAAGTCGTCACCCTCATTGTGATACAGATGAGATGAGTAAAGCAGCGCCGAACCTCTCCGTCTTCTGGCGGTCTTCAAAATCTTGGCATCCATTGAGCACACAAAAGCCGATAACCGAGATGATCATGAATATTGTGTGAACCGAACCGTGATTGTTTCACACGCTCTGCCAGTCTCGATGCTTATCCTCCGTTTGCTAATCAGCTCATCAACCAGTGCAATTGTGTCGGGGGTGATTGCAAGGTGACTTTGGCCCGGTCTGATCATCTTTGCAACTTTCACGTCCTTCTCTGAACCGTTTGCTCCAACGCTTCACAGTGGACAATGCGATGCAATGTTCACCGACACAGCAGTCATACGGGACTAATTTCATGTTGGGAACACCTTCAGCTGTCAAAAACCTGACCACACCACGCTGTTCCTCTTTTGTAGCGTCCATTATGTCACGCTAACGTCTTCAACCCAGTGTAAGAGTGCCTTAAAGAACTTTAACCTCACACTTTCGCGCCACTTTCGTAAATGAAGGCTGTCTCTGTGCTACGCGCATGCGCCGCAGATGATAGACCGAACCATTCTTGCTGAGGAGGGGTTGGCTCACTTTCATTTGACTCGCCCTTATATATCTAAAAATATAGAAGACCTTTTTTTTGGGATTGCCCTCGTACAAGAAATGCAAAGCAAATGATATGCAATGCATAGGATGAGAGCAGCCTCTGAGCTCTCACGTTTGCCATGTACATAAATGTCTACAGCAGAGCATTAAAATTAGTGTTTCATTATCTGTCAGGACTGATATGAAATTGCAGCTTATATGGGCCATAAAGCCTTGTCTGTGGTGCAATTGTGTTAACAATGGGCTCAAAAGAACCAGACAATTTGCAAACCTGACTGTAGATCATTAAACATTATTTCGGCATTCAGTGATAAACATCTCAGCCATATAAGTGATGGATTGTGCAGCTTCATCTCGAAAATTGGCACAACGTTGGAGCATTGCTATAGGTATTCAAATATTAGCTTCAGCAGTTTGATGGCATCCGCTGCTCTGCATATTGAATAGTGTTCTAATGCAAAACCATCTGCATCTTCAGCTACAGTTTGCTAAACTCAGCCGCTGGCATGCTGATTGGCAACAGATCGTCTTGCATTTCAGAATACAACGATGGCCAAGTGTACATTACACATTATACAGATGATTACCATCTTGTAGAGAGCATCAGCATCATACTATGGCCAAATGTGATGGTCTGTGATGTGACTGGATATAATGATCGTTTTCATCCGTTGAGAACTGAAGATAATGTTATCAGCAACTGTTGTATAAGAGAGAGAGACAGTAGACGTGAAGTCATATTCTCAGGTCTGCTCATTCAATGTATTCTTGGAGTTACATTTCAACAAAAGAGTATGTGCTTGTTCTGTTGTATTTCATCAGGACAGTGCACATCCAGTTTTTGCTAGATAATGTTCAGGACTCAAGCACATCAAATACCATGCCATCTTTGCTATTTCCATTTACTAGATGTGTTGCCTATTGAACATGGCTGGAATTTTATTGGCCAGGACCTCACTTGCAGTGTTTATCTTGTGGCCAATATGGATAAACTTTTCTGGATATATGTGGAAGCAATATGGAATACTATTTTTGAGGTACACATTTAAAACCTGTTTGATTCAATCCTACAATGAATATGAGCTCTTGTTGATGTGCATTCAATATTCTTTATTACTCTGTAAATTTAATCTGTATCTTTACATGTCATATGTGGAATAATTGTCATTCAATTTTAATTATTCCTTCGTTATGTTACAGTTTTCACAAACAGGAGTGTACATGGGTTACAATTATTAAAAATGCCATTCTTTATGCTGGTGGGAAAACTCATAATTATTTTCATCTGTATGGCTGTGAAAACTGAATACATGTTTTAACACTTATTTATTAAAAAAAGTAATTATTTTAACATGTATTTTCTTAGCAAGAAGATGTTTCAGTACAACTTGAAGCTTTAGACATTCTTAGTGACTTACTAAGTAGATTTGGAGGTAAATACTGTTTATCTTTAATGCATGTAAATTATTGAAATAAAATGTTTAAATAAATGTTAATGTTATTAATAGTTCCATGTTAATATTATTAATATTCACAAAATTTATAATTTTATCTTTTTTATTTTCTGATATAGGGTTATTGATAAGTTTTCACCTGTCAATTCAAGAAGCACTTTTGCCTCAATTAGCAAGTCCAAGACTAGCTGTACGGAAAAGATCCATAACTGCTATTGGTGAGTGTCAAGTATATTATTAAAAATATTTTTTCTTCAAATAGTAAGGAAAGTATGTTGAATTAATTTGTTGCTTGAGCAAAATTTTTCTATTTTTATAGGCATTTATCGTGGTACTTACATATTAGCACAACCATTTTGGTGCATTTTGGCAATTTGTTACAGAAAAGGAAATACAGTCAAAAGTCGTTAATCCGGACTCGTCGGGACTTCGGCGATTCCGGATTATCGATTTTTCCGGATTATAGATCATCAGTTTAAATCTGGTAAGATGACATGCAGAAATTACAAAATTAAAAATATGAAACCGTAATTTATGAAATAAAGAACAATTATGATCTAAAGGGTATCAAAATTTAAAAAAGAAAAAAGCTTAATATTTATTTGTTTACTTTATTAAACATTTCTTTCAATGTTTGTTTAAGTTTTGCTTCGTTTCATGTGATAATACTTTCTCTTTAATTCTATTAAACAGACATAATTTCTTGTTTAGTTACAAAGTTAAGCTGTTCAAGTCCTATAATTGCTGTGTCGAAATACCGACTAATTTGTCAATCGAAATTTTTTTCGTTTTCAATAACCTCTGTTACTTTTCTTCGCTATCGGAAGCGAATTATAATGACGAGGAACTTGTTTTAAATCATATCAAAGACGGAGCACATCGAGATGAAATACTACATTTGGTAAGGAATTATAAGCCAAATAAAATAAAAACATCTGCCCTGAAGATAAGGATAGTGCTGACAGATCAACTTCCAATTCATTACGCGCTGCGGCGTTCCCCCCGCCGAGCAGCGTGAAATTGATAAACAGATTTTGGATTTCGAAACATACTTTCACTTTAGATCTTTTACATTTTACCAAATATATATCGGAAATTCTATTTGATATAATCGAAAGTTTAAGCTTACTTAAAATTGCTCTAACAGTCTGCAAAAAATAATAAGCCGGATCCAAATCGAAGATTAAGGAACAACGCAATCTGCAACATTAACTGAATTAGATAATTTTAGCTTAGCTTACACCATCCGTTATACATTAAACGCGCATGCGTAAATGTTTTATGAGCATGCGCACAAGCATATTCGCAGCCGTAAAGGTCTAACGCACGCACGTAAACGGCTATGCGCAGAAAGTTTGTAGCTTTGAGGTCCGGATTATGGGTGTCTGAATTAATGACTTTTGACTGTATAACAAATTATAAGTGTAAAAAATTGTTCATTACATAGATATATGTATTTTATGTTTCAATCCAAAACTCGTTAGATGATAAACTTAATTGCAAGCAAGTTTCCACTTCCTTTGTTGTGACTGTTTTAAGAATAAATTCCAAGTATTGTTCTTTTTAGCAATTTATCTGCAAAATGCTGTATTCTTCCATAATTTTAATGTAATTTAGTTTTTTGATTTTGCATAATTTTAATGTTATGCATGCAGACCTCACAAGTGCATATTTAAAAATTAAGTTGAAGGCAAAATATATATCAATTTTTCTATAAAAACCATTGGAACTTAGAATGCAACAAAATATAATGTATGCGAAGATAGCGACTCTGCTTGTTAAAATTGAAAAACTGTTATGCTCATGGTTGCCAGAATTTCGTACATTCTGAAAATTTGGCAAGTTCTATTAAGATGATTAGCCTGCCAGAAGCTAAGTGGTAAAAGTCACTGAACACTGGTAGTTCAGTCCAAGGTTCAAATCCCATGGCAGGATGGTTGCATAGGCCTTTTTCACAGGTTTTTTTCATATTTTCAATGGGTATACAAGCCAGTTTCTTGGAGAAAGTCCTCCACGAAGACATCCCTCCCCTTAGGTAGATAGTCCTTGAGGCTTTGCCATAATCTCATAAAACCAAAAAAGAACTAATGAGGTTGCACTAATGTGTAAGTACCTTTACTCTAATTATTTGACTAATGTATGTGTTGCTTTTTTTAAAATAAGGTTATGGATTGCTTTACTGAATATTAAATGATGTAAGAAATCTCTTTGACATATTAGTATATTTATACTATAACTGTGTAATAAAATAGACAACTTTCTTTCTGATTAATGCATGTGTAAATGAAAATGTTTAATGAAATAATTTCATCTGCCTGTTTTTACAGTTCATTTTATGTTCCAAAGAAACAGCAGGTTAGCAATTTGTTTGCCGTCTAAAATGCCGAAGGAATTTGAAATTTACTGCATATGGTATTTTTCTGGTGTGGTGCAAATATCAAAATTCACTCTGCTGTAACACAAATACTTGAAATACTTTTATGCTATTGATAGGGACATTTTGTTTTTCAAAATGTTTCAAGCTATTAAAATGATTTATGCTTTATATAAATAAATTTATAAGAATTTTGAATACTTATATATTATCTGCCACAGAAATCGAGTTACTGTAAGGTAACTTTTGTGGTAATTTTGATGTTAGAAATTTTGATTATCTTTCTATATCAGTAATTTAATTTCTTAAAAACAGTTGTTACATCTCCTCCATGCTTTCATCCACTACACATAGTCCTTGACAAAATTTGTTGGATGTTAACTTATAAAATTAGACAAAACAGCAAACTTATATTTGAATAGGATAGATTTTGAATTAAACTCTTAACAATGTCAAGGGTGATCAGAACAGGTCCCTCTTCTTTAGGAAGGGGGGAGGCAGATTTTTCTTTTCCAGTTTGATGTTAACTTATATGCTATAATATGTAATGGTAATTAATTCATATGGTTTTTTGTAAATGTGATACATTTTCCTACAAATAAATTTCCTTTTCTAGTTCTTAGTTTATGTCTTCAATTTTCAATCTTGAACTTCTACATTTTTTTTTTCTTTTGTATTGTAAAATTTCATTAAAGTTTGATTTAAACATTTTTGACTTTTTAGCAGTATTCCATGGCTATGAAAAAATAATATAGCTTTCATTTCATTATTTCTCAAATTCTAGGGAGTATGAAAAGAAATAAGTATGACTACTTATATATCTTGCAGGTGACCAGTTTTGAAAAAAAAAAAACTACTATGATTTTATCCTACTATAATTTATTCCATTTAATTTTGGAAAAGTCTTTATTTTTACAGTTGTTGGTCATAATCTACTTCCATTTACAAAAGTATTTTAAAATGATGAAAATAAAGTTTTATACTCATTATGAAACAGTAAAATTATAGGAAGTTTATCTCCTGTACAAGAAAAATTACAAGATATTTACTTTCGAAATTTGCAATATTTGATCTCATTTTCAAATTGCTTTGAGAGATAAGTTAATTAAATTTGAATAATTGGAGGAAATAAGTTTAAGTACAGCAAAAAATATGTATAATTTTACAGGCTGCACAATTAAATCATGTGGTGTCCACGTCAGATTTTTTTTAAGGTATATATTGATGAGCTGATAATACTGTGAATTAAGTACATTTAATTACTCTCTCAGTTATGTCTTTTATACTTCAGGTTACCTTGTGATGAGTTGCAGTCAAAATCTTTTTAATAAACTGATTGATGTTCTTCTGGAAGAACTGAGTCAGAACAACAATACTTCAACCACAAGGACTCATATTCAAGCAATAGCAGCCATAAGGTATGTAACTTCTCAACGCCTGAAATATAAGTGATTTTTATTTAAGTACAGTTGGTATGACAATTAATGATAAATAGTTTTTTCTTTGTTTTATGATATTATTACTTTTTTGTAGATATTTTATTTCAGTAAGAATTTGAAAAATAGAAATTTCATTAATTTTTAAAATTTATAAATTTTTACACTTCATTTTGTAAGAAAAGAAAATTGGGCTGTAGACTTTTGTACTGCATGTAGCTAACTAACTGCACATAAATTTTGTATTATGATAAGAAGTATTTTTTTTATAATAGTGAGCATTATTTTAGCAATATTCGTGTTACACTCAAAGCTAATTTAAAAAGTGAAGATTTTACAAAGCCATTGTCTTCTTATGGGATTAAATAATCTTATAATGTCATTATGTTATGTTAACATATCCAAAATTCTTTGTAAATCACTGAAGTTATTAGTTTTTTATTTTTTCTACATAAATGTAAATTTCGAATGATATACAATGCTGCAATAAAATAACTTCTTCATTAATTTACCATTAAAATAATGTTTCGATTAAAAAATTAATTCAAATTATGTATAGATGCAAATTTGAAATTACGTGGAGTAAGGAAGTTATTGCTCATGATTTAACTGATTATATAAAGAATATTAAATAAATTTAAAAAAAAAAGGTGCATCGTTCATGCTTTAAAAAAATATATATTTATCATGCCAAAAATAGGTGGTTTTTTTCATTTACAGACACATACACATTTCAATTTGGGCTAATACCACACAAGGCTAAAAATATTTAAAGGCAGCATATCTTTAGAATTTCCGATAGACAGTCTCTTATTCTGGAGATAAAAATATTTTATTCCTTACAGTGCTGCCACTGCTCACTTTGAAATCATTGAATTTTCATTGAAAAATTCATAAATGTTTTTCAAAATATGAAATACATAATAAAACGAATTTGAAATTCCAAATTAGGGCTTTCGGGTGCCCATGTTTGGGTGGAGGCTATGTTATTCAAAATTAGATAACTCTAGATACTGTTGTTTTTTCACAGTGTGAGAAACATGCATACATTGATGTAGATTCTTCATTATTAATTTCTTTAAATATAATATTTTGTGGCAACAATTTCAAAAGTGATTTGACGTAAAATGCTGTTTCAAAACTAATAGCTTTTTATGGGCCAATGCTGTGTGGACAATGTTTTTATACAAAAACATTTCAACAAAAATTTGGAATGTGTGAATTATTTTAGGAGTTACTGTTTACCACAAATTATTTTATTACAAGAAATATTTTGATGATATTTATTTTACAACAAGCAAGGCTGAGAGTAGGAAAAAATAATATATTAGGACAAAAAATTGAATTCTGTATTTCAGTTTTTAGTACCAGATCTATGCAAATTATTTCAAAAATGCAAGTGTCCAAAAATTGTACTGTTATTTTTTCACAGTGTGAGAAACATACATACATTAATGTAGATTCTTTATTATTTAGTTTCATTGAAAGTAATATAGGACGATAATATTTGATGGCAACAATTTGAAAAGTGATTCGGACATTTAATGGAAGATGCCATTTTGAGACTAACACCCTTCTGGGCTAATGCCCGTTTGGGCTAAAAATAAAATTAAAATATAAAATCTCAGTTACCTGTCAGATAACCGAAAGCTTGGATAGGAAGGAAGACTGCTGCAATTTCGGAGTAAAAGCTATGGATAAGAAAGAGTTGACACATTTGTGTTATATACAATTAGCTTTTTTCATACAATAAGTAGAATGTTGAAAAAAGGGGAGGAACAAGAAAGAAAAATATGCATTCATTTTTATTTTTGTAGACATCATTTTTGAAGCTACTGTAGTGACTTGTACTTTAAAAATTAAATTAAGCAAGTTTTTTTTTTTTTTTAATTTATTTTATAGCTATTTCTTGCAGCTTCTTTTGCAGTATTTTCAATCATCCAAACATCAAAATGATTGCAGATATATTTTAGCTATTTAGTATGCAAAAGTTTTTTATTTGTGGGGGTGGGGCATTCAGAATTCCTCAATCAGAATTTTAAATTTCAGATTTTTGTTTTTTTCTCAATATAACTTTCATAATTTCCAATTTCAGTTGGAAATTATCAAACTACCATACCTAAAACTTCTCGTACAAAAGGCACATGTAATGTTAAAGAAATTCATATATAAAAAATTAAAACAAAATTCCAATTAAAAAAAACTGATGGAAAAGTGCAATTTGTATTATGGATATTAAATGAATCCCACATTCATAAAATTATTGCAAAACACTTTCATTTCTCATTTGCAATAATTGCAAAAATAATTAATTGCTTGATAATTAATCGCAAAAATGTGTATGTTCAAAAATCCGTAAAATGGAAAAACAATAAACATGGTAGCAGGTCTCTGAAGATACAGTCAAGGTCTGTGAAGGTACAGTTGGGCAAAGCTAAATGAGTTATGCCCACATGTTACTAGTTGCCAATATTTTGATAACTCATTAACAGTATTTATGGCAAAACTTTAATGAAATATAAAGAAAAATATAAAATACTAAATGAACAACTGAAAGGCCCAGCCTTGGTTAATAAGGATGCCCTAAAATTATGTTTTGCTCTTGTGTATATTTTTGGTAATAATTTATTAACATGTGCTTTAAGTTCTTGCATGATAGTAATTTTGAACAAAATTTTTATTTCATATCAGCCGACAAGCAGGACATCGTTTTGGTGAACATTTAGAAAGAGTGATGCCCATTGTTGTTCAATATTGTGCTGTTGATGATGATGAATTACGAGAATATTGTCTGCATGCTTTTGAATCATTTGTCCGCCGTTGTCCCAAAGAAATATCTCCTCATGTCTCCACAGTAAATATATAAATTTATATATTTTTCCAACTATTTCTTCAGACTTATTTTTTGTTTTTACCTTTCATATATGGTTTTTTTTTTTTTTTTTTTTTTTAAATTGTCTTTAATTTTTCAAACATTTTAACATATTTAAAAAAGTGCTTTTATTTTCTTTCTAGATAGTGAAAATATGCCTTAAATATCTTTGTTATGATCCAAATTACAATTATGATGATGATGATGTAACTGATAGTATGGAAATGGAAAGATGTGATGATGAAGATGGGTTAGTTATCATTTTTAATATAAGAATAAAGTATATTAAAGCTGACAGCTAAATACTATTGGTTTTGCAATAGCTATATTTAGTTTATATAGGCTTTATTTAATATATTTTTTATGAGAACTGATTTTTCTTTTGGAATATAGTTATTATTTTTAAAAGTTAAAACTATAATTAATAATAATACTATTTTTAATGAGAATTGATTTTCTTTTAGAATTTAATTCTTTTTAAAAAGTTAAAACTATTATTGGTTTATTCACAGTTTCTCCTTTTCCTTCAGGGAAAGTGAAGATGAGTACAGTGATGATGATGATATGAGTTGGAAAGTTCGGAGAGCCTCAGCAAAATGCCTGGAAGCAGTCATTTCCACACGACATGAAATGCTGCTGGAGTTTTACAAAGTCATTTCTCCTGTTTTAATTTCCCGATTTAAAGGTTTGGAAATGTTCTATTCAAATTGTTTTTTTAATGAACATGCTAGTTAAAGAAAAATATTATATTATTTTTTATTTTCTTATACTCTTGCATTGAAAAGAACTTTGAATTATGATGTGAAATTTGCTAAATAATGCTGACCTAAAAATTATATTTTGAACTTATCAAAAGTTTTTCCCCTCACATTTAATTTTCAGTTTCCTGTTTTAAATTTTGTAGTTTTTCTTTTGAATGCGTGTATTAGTCCTTTGATATTTAAATAAATTAAGTGATATGTAATTATTAGGTGTTGAATATCTGTCATTTATCAAAAAGATGCTTATGGATAGATTTTGAATTTTATTGTAATAGATTTACATTTTTTAATCGGGCTTGTGCCAGTATTAGTAACATAATCTATATAAATTACTTTAATTATGTTTTTATGTGACTTTTAGAACGGGAAGAAAATGTAAAAGTTGACATCTTCCATGCCTATACAGCACTTTTAAGACAGACACGCCCTTCAGTCACAGCTGGTGTACTTGATGCTGATTCTATGGATCATGAAGAAGGGTAAAAAAAAAAAAAAGAAAAATTATTTTATTTGCTAAAACTTGAAAATTTAAGTACGCTAATTGGAAAATAAAATCCTTTTAATATTTTAGAAAAGTAAAAATGATTTATTTGGGAGTTATCAGGAACAGGGAGCTGCAGTGGGAATTGGAAATAGCAATGATTTATGAATAAATACTTACCTCTTTGTTCAGTTATTTTTTAGTTTTTGACATACAACACAAAAAGAGCAAAAGTAATTATCTGCCAGAGCTTGACTTTGCATTGAACAAGATTCGAAAGTGTAAGCATAGAGATGAGGAGTTCAGAACAGAGCAGATGGACACTGTCTTAATAAATTCTGTTACATTAAGCACATGTAAATCTTTAGACATGTAAATGAATTAGGAATAATTCCTTTACATGTGATAAAGAACTGTATCACTGAACACACTGTACTGTGTGTAATTAATAACTAGGCAGTATCTACAAGAAATAAAATAACTAAAAATCTTGCAATCAGAAAATTTTTGATTGCAATTTAGCACCCCAAAGAAGAGTTGAAATTCAGTGAAACATTTTATGTATAAAAAAGGTAAAGGTACAGCACTGTGTGTGGGGGGGGAAGGCCAGTTCTATATCTCCCGTTCTACTGGGCAGATTGACAAAATTCAAATTGCATTTTTCATGTCTCGAAAGCGCGACTTGTGATATATATTAGATTTATATATAGCACTATTCTAACATAGGTATTCTGACACAAAATCGAACTTTTTCTGAAATAACATACCAATTTTTTTCCATATTTCGATTCTACGACTTAAATTATGTCAGACTGACAAATTTGGTAAAAATCGTACGAGTAGTTAGCTTTCAAAATTTTAGCTCCTCATTGTAAATTGAATTTGGCACATATTTATTAATATCTCTTTTTTTATTAAACTTTTTTGATTTTTCCTTTCACATTTTGAAATTTAGGTTCATTCCAAATAAAATTCCCCCATTTTTTGTGTTTTATTTTTTAAATTTCTATTTTTAAATAATTTTTATCAATTTTTCAAAAAAATTTTTGAATTATAACCTGTAAAATTTTTATCATCATCTTAAAGTAGGTGTAGTTTTAAGCATACCTGCAAAAAAGTAGAGTTTTTTTATTCAAAATTTTCTAAGATTTTACATGAATTTACATATTTTCGCATTTTGAAATTTGGCATCTTTTTTTTTTTTTGAGCAATAATAACGACAAATGTGGTTTATGGATTTTTGTTACAGTGAATTGCCATAGCTATTTTTAACCTTAAATTTCAAATAAATTTTTATGAAGAATTAATTATATGAAATTTTTTCCCTTGATGATGCATAATAAATATTTATTAATACGATATGAAAAGTTATTTTTTAAATTACAGATGATATTATTTAAATTTTTAATTCTTTAATATCTTTCTTTCTTTTTTTTTTTTTTTTTTAAATCTTCGTTAGAGTAAATTTTTACCTTAGCCATGTTATTGTCTGCTACTTTACTTTAACTTCATTTAAATTGAATTGTCTAACACTGAGAAGGTTCGTTTGATGTTTATTTTCACAATGTTTTTTTTAGCAAACAGGACATTGACAGTTTGGGTAATGTCCCAGCTTTAAAATATATATATATATATATATATTCTTACATTAATCTTTTTAGAAAGAATGTTTTAAGTAATAATTTTCACTTGTGTTGTAGATTATATAAAAAAACATGTTCTTTAATATAGAAATTTTTAGGTCTTAAAAACTCTAAATAATATGGTTAAGATTTTTTTGCACCCGATATAAGAATTCGGGCTATCACGGTCAGTGGTACAGGATAAGCAATGCTGGAGTGGTTTATTTCTTTCTCATTTGCAATAAAAATCTTTCAAGTCAAATATTTAGCCTTTGGACTTTCACTTCAAACTTTAATAATAGTTAAAATGTCTAGAAAAAATGAAAATCTGTCTTCAGTTGAAACGCATTTAATGCAACTGATATTTTCAAAAATTTGACAAGAATACAAAATTTATGGAAGTGTAACAATCTAAAAACCTTAATTTCCTTGTGTCAGTACTGAAAACAAATGTAGAAGTAAAGAAGAAAATTAGGGGAAAAAAGCAAAAATTTAAAGGAGGAAATCTACTTCATGGAAGTTTGGTATTCAAACAGAAAACACTTGGACATGTGCATATAAGCAAATAGCAAGCAATTGGGTTTAGTGACTAACGGAAAAGACAAAAACCATATCATTGCAGATTAAATTGAAGAGCAACTGGTTTTTGACTATATCATTGTATAAATTTAAATTAGTTATAGAACATCATATCGTATCATAAACGGAACATCCCATGATTTCTCAGTCGAATTATTTGAAAATTCAAGAATTTATACAATGACGTTATAAGGTATCACTCTCACCTTCTTAGAGCATTTATTGGAAATGCGCACGGAGGTAGGTTTTTTTTTTCTACTACCTAGGTAAGTTTCAAAGTCCTAGACGCACGGTGGTTTCACAGTGCATCCAACACCCACATAACAATGGGCAAGAATAGATTTTTTTAAAATTCATATATTATTTGTCTCTGGGATCATAATATTCAATTTCTAGAGTTTTTAGTTAAAAAAATTATAAAAATATTACACACGTTAAAGGGTTTAAAGTTTCAAATAATTTGGATCATAATAATGCATGTAGATATCAGCCTGGATGGGACTCACAGGGCTTCCCATGGCTAATCCCTCAGTTTGTTTGTAATACTTATTTTGGAAAACAAAACTTGTTTGTTTCAAACAGAGTTGAGTGAGTGAAATTAGCTTATCAATTTCAATGCAAGAGAAATGAAATTCACGAAGTCTGGTATCTAGACATCTTAATGTACCCTCCACTGGAATATTAGTGAATAATGATTTTACATCAAAAGAAACCATGAGTAAATTTCTAGGAGAAATACTTTTAACTTTTCATACAAACTCTTGAATTTTTTATGGTGTAAATGTTATTATCTAACAGAGTTGAAAATCTAGAAACTAAATATTTAGCTAACGGATGCGAGGCAGTGCCTAAATTTGATAAAATAGGGCAGAAAGGAATACCACTTTTATGAATTTTGGGAAGAGCGTATAATCTTCCACAATTCGCAACAGATGGGATAAGCAACTCTTTTAAGTTAGTCGAAAGGATTTATGAAAATCTGATTGCAGTTTTAATTTTTGCGAGGTCCGAAGGTGAAGGGTCTTTAGTGGATCAGGTTATATGATCCTTCATTTAAGAGTTTAGTGACACCATCGATTATCTGTTCTTGTCCATCTAGCCACCTTTGTCGGCCTTTGAAATGCTAATATCCAGGTTAGAATGAATTTCCTGCATTGTAGCTCTTTCTCTCACGTTTAGATTTGGTTTCAAAGGCTTATTTGAATTTGAAAGCTTTTTCGATTGGAGCCAAAATCTTTGGAATTGCGGGTTTTGAGGTTTGTTAGAACTTAAAATTATATTTCAGAATTCTCTCTTGTTCTTCTGATAATAGAAATATTAACTGTTGGCTTAATATTTGCAGTGGGAAAATTTTTTTGAATTACATAAATTCGAAGACTGTAAAACAAGTTTTTAAATTTAAATGCAAGGGTGTTTTTATGAAGGTAATGAAGGTAACCGCATTCTCAGTTCTAGACCAAGACTTTTGTTCAATGGCAGGAAATTTGGATATGAATTAGCGAGTTCTAGATAAAGCTTATATAGCTCATGTTCAATTTTGGATAACTGTTGACGTGTTTCCCTTATGATGGACCGAAGCAAGGCGAGTTTGCAGTTTAAGAGAATTCTTGAAACATGATTAGAAGATTTTTGATTAGATTTGATTTGAATGAATTTGGGGATCAATTTTTTACGTTTACACTTTAGTAAAAAGCCAAGGTGATTCGCAAATTTCTGTTGTGTCAGGCGTAATTTAGCGAAATGATTAATGAATGAAGGCATGATAAACAATGCAGAAAATCAAACTAAATTAACTAACCAATAATAAAGCTCAAAACAACAGAAAAATTTCACACTGAAAATGAATACAAAAAATATTTGCATGTGAAAAGCATTGATTTACACATTTTAATTTTTCTTATTTGATATTGTGCTTTGCTCATCCGATTTCATGCTTTAAAATAAAATAAATTACATAAAATATTTTTACCCTAACATGAATATTATCACATCCAAAGTATTTAATCTTAAAACTATAATTCATTCCTCTATATTATGCACAAAAGCTAAAGTTGATAACATTTAAGAAATCAGATCTGAAAGGCATGTGACCTTAGCAACATGATGCTATTACATGTCTATGTAGTTCTTATGGATATCATGTGGTAGAAGAAACTGAAGTTCCAATGCGATGGAATCATTTTCCTATACATTAGGAGGGGCCATATTTTTAAATCTTCACATTGTTTACTAGTAAGAATTAAAAACATTGTGCTAGTGTTGATTGTATAACACATAAATGACTCTTAAAAATTTTAAAGAATCACCAAGTTCATCATCCTTGTTTAAAAAAAAAAAAATGAAAAATTTGTTTTATAATTTGCAAACATTTCAAATTTTTAGTAAACATGAAATTTTGGGTACCAAAATTTTAAATGTAATAAGATATGCAGTGTTGAACATTTTTTGAATAATCTCCAAAAATTAATTGTGCTAACGATTCAAAGTAAATTTTATGTAAAAGATTCCCCCCTTGCTTCATCCATTCATGTAAAAAAGGAAATTCTAACATTATTAGTATGTTCATTAAATGTATATATGTGAAAAATCCACACGTAAAAATTTTTTTCATGAATATAAAAATTTATATGGAGTTGTGTTGTATGGGTCATAAATGAGTCCGATTCTAAGAGTGGTGTTGGCATCTGGGTAACTGGGCCGAAGGCTCTACCCTATGTAGAACAGTTTACCTTACCTAATTGTTACAAGAGATAACTAAAAATAGAATGTACCTGACTGGATTTACAGAGATGTAATAATAATTATGTAATTGAATATGTTACAGCACCTTACATTTCCAGACCAGAAAAGCCAATTCGAGCTGGTGATTTGTCTAGAAACATATAAATAGAATGACATAGACAGTTAAGAGTAAATTGGCACATTAGATAATTAAAATAAATGAGTCCTTTATCATGAAACAATAATTTATTTCACAAATGAGGAAATCATTGTATCTAAGAAAATGTTGTAGGATGTGATAATGCAGCAGTAATGAGTGGGGCCATGCCATGGTGTGCAACTGTGTATAGAAAAGGTCCACGTTCTTACATTGTGTGGCCAATAATGTAAATTTTACTTTAAAAAATGCTATTAAAGAAATAGTAATTTGCCAATTTTCAAAACAGTACAAATTTGTATTGCTATTTTAGTCATAGCATTGTTAGCTAGGAAGAATTACAAACAGTTTCCTAGAATCAATCCTATAACACAAAAATGACACTAAAAATTTTAAATCAAACTCACTGGATTGCAGATATAATGTTCTGTATGCCTCAAAGTACAGGTTTGGTGATGTGATGAAATGTTTGAACTGCATATTTCTATCTAGCCAAAAGAGAAGGAATAAAATGAAGTGATACAAGTAAAGAAAAAAATGGAAACACTTGACTTGGTCTTAATCGTAGTTATATAGTGCAAAGTTTTAGGATTCCTAAATATTGTTTCAAAATCTTTCCAATCTGAAACTGTAGATCTGTTATCAGCATACGGATTATTGGAGAATGAATGCCTTGATTAAAATTACCAAAATTTTGAGAAGATGTAAGGATATGGTGTCTAATGCTTCTAAGATCTTTAAGCCTTGACGAATAGTTGGTTTTGATATATATTTCGATTTGATTTTAGTAAATTTCAATAGTTCAAGATTCAGTGAAAGTTCTGTAGTTGAATGAAGTTCAAAAGATAAAACATTCTGGAGATATAAAGTTCTGAAGTTGTGAGTTCTTTTGATCAAAGATTCCATACATAAAGTTCGGTGTTTCAGATGATCATTTTAAAGTAACTGTGTTTTGACATATGTTAGATATTTTAATGCATTTAGCTTCGTAATCGTTTCCAGGCTATGAAAAATATTTCTTTTACTTACCTTGTAATACAACCCATATTTATTAAGAAAGCAAATGAAAACCATATTCATGACAAAGCAGTTAATTTTTCACAAAAATTTCCTGAGGATGTGTCATCAACCATCCAGTTATTGCCTCAATTTCCATCTAGTTACCTTTAGTAAAGTGTCAAAGAGGAGCTTGAAAAAAATAAAAACAACATTAATGGATTAGTAGAATTGTTGATAATAAATGCCAGTTCACTTCATAGAGTTCTGATGTAACACAGCATGCATTATGTATTTAGCACTTTCTATGACTGTAGCTAAAGCTGAAAAATCATTTTCAAAACTGAAATTAATAAACAAGTATTTACAAAGCAGTATGGAGCAGGAAAGGCACACCAATTTAGCTTTGCTTTTAATTGAGAATATTCGAGGCCAGAAAATTAATTTTGATAAAGTAGTGACAGTTAGAAAACAAATTATGTGAATCAAGTGTAAAAATAAAGTGTGCTGGATAATTTGCTATTAAACATTTTATTTTGATTACATTGCATTTATTTTGTATTATGCTCTTATGGCATCAAAAAGATTCAGATGTCACATTCTTTTTTATTTAAGAGTATTAAACGAGAATTAAAAAAAAAAAAAAAAATAGCACATATCAAGAGATAATTATTCAAATATTTTTCATTTGATTAATGTGTATAAAGTTACTTAATAATTAAAGAAAATTTTCAACCATAACCAGGAAAAAAGGTAGTTCAAGCTGGGGAAAACAATAAAAAGAGGGTGGCATTCACATCTTTTGTCCTGGTCTCACTACGTATATTGTTTCATTCTTAGCTTTGAGCCTGTCGATGTGTTTGCTGTGTAGCACTCACACACACAGACACACTTTTATTTTTTTTTAAAATGATCTAAATCTCCAATAATCAGCTGCATTTGGTTAGATGTGCAATGCCAAATTTGGTTTTAAAGTAGAATGACCAAAAGTACTGCAAATGTCACATTTTTTTTAACTTTTGTGCATTAATTCATTAACTTCATTGCATAATAGGTATTGTAATTTACTATTCATCTGGTGAACTTAAAGTATACCAAAGTTGGTTATGTTTTGATAATAAAAATATATTAACTTCGTTGCTGGAGTTAATATTTTAAAGTTTCCATTCTGTCTTTTTCAGTGCTGTCTTAAAACTTTTTTTCTTATTTTTAATAAAAGTGTTTGTTCTGTTTATCTTTCTAAAATCATCTGTGTAATTGCTAAGCTGTGACTGTTTTTATAGGCCTGTTAGCTTGCTAAAACAACAGACATCTAATATAATTCGTGCTCTTCACCGTCAGCTGAAAGAAAAAAGCATAAAAACACGCCAAGGATGTTTCTTTGTGTTGACAGAACTTGTAACTGTTCTTCCAGGTGCACTTTCAGAGCATATGCCAGCTCTTATTCCAGGAATACAGTTTTCTTTAGGGTTTGTAATTTTTTTTGTTTTGTTATTATCATTGTTTTACTTTTTCCGGAAAAATGTAATTGTTGCTAAATGAATCTGAATAATTTTGAATGCTAATATGTTTTCCTATGTAAAAAAGATTTCTTTTTAAAAATGTAAATTTGAATGTCATGTGAACAGATTTTTTCTAAATAAATTTTTCCTCCTATAATTTCCTAAATTTAAGTATTATAATATGTGTCTGTATTTATAAGAAAATTTCAGTAAAGAATAGTAAAAGATTCAGTTCAGTATTTTCTCTGAATCCATTTTTTATACCAACATATTTAATTTGTATATTTCCTAAGCATGTGAATCAGTATTTTTAGATCTGTAAATGTGATAGGATTTATTTATTAAATATTAGCATTTAATGAATACTAAGTATGCCTTTTTTTTTCTTATGCACTAGATATTTGCTTTTTGATGAATAACTGTAATGGAATATAGATTTATTTCTTTAGTTTTTAAGGAAATTTAGAAACTCTAAAAGAGTGTAATTTACGTGAAACGAATCAATGGGATAAATCGTAACTTTTTTTCCTCCCCCCCTTTTCTCTCTCTCTCTCTCTCTTTTTTTTTTTTTTTTTTTGTATCTTTGTATTTTGGCCCACCAACAGCCACGCAGTATATCACTGAATACTGATAGGTCGAGCTGTATTCAAATCTGGTCAGGAAGTATGGCTGCATGGAAATTTTCATGATTTTCTCCATGTATCATGTGAATTTGAGCCATTTTCATTGAGAAAACCGTCCATGAAGGCATTGCTTTCTTTAAGCAAATGGCCCATGACTACATTGTCATATTCAAACATTGTAGAAATGTCTGAACATTGTCATATTCAGACAAACAAACAGTTAATGTTTCTTTAAATAACCCTTCAATGAATCTTCTTTTGATTGTTAAAATACAATTTGTTGCAAAAAATATATGCACCCATAAGAAAATTCAGCCTCTACTACCAAAGGCAGCATGCAAATGTGGTTTGGCGAGTTGTATAAATGATTAAACTTGCAGCATGAATCAGCTTTGTGGAGTGATACAATGCACCTTTGAAGTGAACATCTGGTAGAAAGTAAAAGGGCAGGTGCAGTGAGTGACAAGCATTTACAGCTGTACTGATGGCATGGATACACAGCATACTAATGGAAGATACCTTTAAAATGTACTCGATGGCATTACGAACAGTTGTCAGACTTTGAGAGAGGTTGCTTCATAGGTCTAAAAGAGGCTATTTGGTTGAACAGATGGATCGCCTAGCATATTGGGTTAAGTAATGTTTTCATTATTGATTGCTGAAACCAGTGGCCCAGAGAAGGCTTAGTCAGCCACTGTTGTGGCTCGGGTTGTCCCTGGGCCACCAATGCCCAGGGATGAGATACTTGTGTACAATTAGAAGGCTGTCCTCGATTCAAAACCATTTGCCAACCCATAGGAATCCAGGGATATCAAGGGATAAGATTTGCAGAAGACTTGGTGACACTGAGCTTCTGCAAATCTTATCATCTTGGATGTCCATTAAGATGCCTGCCATTGACACTCCACCATAAGCAGAGTCAACTTGCGTGGTGTCACTCTTACTCAAGCTGGATAGTGTTCGGAAAAATTTGATCCTCAAGGACAAATCATGTCTTTCTCTTAATGCTGATAACCGCTGCATACATGACTGGAAACAGAGGTGAGTGATCCAATGTACCATTTGTTACCAAGTGACACACAGCCAGAACACAGGGTGTGACAGTCTGGGGAGCAATCAGATGGGATAGCCATTCACCAATTAATTGTGCTGCGAGGTACTTTGACTGCTCACAAGTACATTGACAATGTTTTGCAGCCGATCATACTGCATAAGCTAGCAGGTCTTCCATGTTTTGCTTTCCAGCAAGACAATGCTTAGCCACATACAGCATAACTTTCCCAACAATGTCTTTGACGTGTTAATGTCTTTGACTGGCCTGCCAGGTCTCCAGACCTGTTGCCTATCAAAAAAGTTAGGGATATGTTGTGGAGACAAATTCAGCTGTATACAAATATGCCCTAACTTGCTGCAGTTGTTCCATTTGTGACACAGTCTACCACAGTAGGGCATTGTAAACATAAGTACAAGTACAAGCTCAACTGTATTGCTCCATTTGTGCCACAGTCTACCACAGAGGGACATTGGCAACTTAACTACATGCCCAAGTGGCTGCCAGCTTGTTTATAGCTGCCAGTGATGCCTGTACTACCTGTTGATTTTTACAGTCTTTACATTGTTACTCATAAATAAAACACTTTTTTCTTTCCAGTTTTTGATCATTTATTTACCTACTCAAACATTATACTACAGCCGAATTTCGTAGCTATGGATCAGATCTTTCTGGATGCATATTATCTTTTGCTACAGAATGTATTTGAGATATAAAGTTCATGTTAATTACTTAACTTGCTGGGATAAAAATTGTATATCTATCAGAAGTGAGTTTCTTAGGTTATACTTGCTAAGGGCTCAATGAAAGACAGAATCTCAAATATTCATTGCACTAGCTGAATATTCCTCTCTCATAACAATTGATAGATGAACTCTTAACATAAAACAGAACACTGTAAAATTTTTTAGCTATTACATTGGACGAAGATAATTTCTTTTTCTTGTATTTCTAAATTTCATAAAATAGTTAAATTGAAATGCTTTTGTTTTAGTCATTTCTTGTTTCGATTCTAGGGATAAAAACTCAAGTTCAAACATGAAAATTGACACATTAACATTTTTGAATTGTTTACTTACTCACCATCCACCTGAAGTTTTCCATCCTCATATTGAAGCTCTTGTACCAGTGAGTATTCCTTATTTTCAAAAATTAGATTTTTCTATTAAACAATTCTTAATTAATTTGAAATATGCAACATTACTAATACTTTCGTACATATAAAGTATATGTGTAAGGTGTTGAATATTTGCTGTTAGTTGCAAGTATCAGTTAATATGAATAAAGTTGTTCCTCAGTAATGTATCAGATGGGGCTGCCTAAGACAGTGAATCGTTAAAAACACTAAAAATGGCTGAAAATATTGGAAGTGAATTCATAAAAAAATTTTTTAATTACACAATAAACAAATGAAAGTAAAACAGAATTGCCTTTAAATTTATTTAGGACAGATGCCACTGCTGCTTCTGTTAAGTTGCCCTGACATTAACCATCTCAGCAGCAAAGGATTTTAGATCTGTTAGGAAGGCCTGTATTTAAACAGGATTTATTAATTGAATTTATGTAACATCACTAAAGAAACTAAAGAAAGTAAGAAAAGAACAACATCACTAAAGAAAGTAAGAAAGCAAAATATCTTAAATTTCAAGCTAATATACGCCAAATAACAAAACATATGAAGACTGGATAAACCCAGTCATAGCGCTCAGAGGTTAAAAGAGCTTTTGCGCAGGAAAATATTAAAATATTAAAAAAAAAAAAAAAAAAAAAAAGAAGTGTGTTCTTTAAGGTTTTTATTCACGTATCTCAAAACGTATCCTTCAGTGTATGCCAAGTAACAAAAATCCGAATGACTGGATAAGGCCAGTCATGGTGTAGAGAGGGTTAAAAGAGCTTCTCTACAGCAATATTGTTAATATTTTAAGAAAAATGTATTTCTTGAGGTTTTTATTCACATATCTGAAAAAATATCTTTCGATTCATTTCACTGTTTGTCATGTTGCAAATTTCAAGGATAAAAACCATGAAAACAAAATCCTTCCAGAATTCTAACTTTTTGCATAAGCTAAAGCAATGCCTGGCTTCACATGAAGGAAGATAATTGTATATTACATATTATTTTATTTTGCATTAGGATTATTGTATAAATGTTTAATGTATATATTTTTTTAATGAAATGGGGCTTATGCATAGCATATAAAACTTTTAAATGACCTTTCAGGGAAAAAATTTCAACAACCTTGATATAAAAGCTTTTTTAGATACTAAATATAAATGGTAGATGGCTGTAGCAAAATGAAAGCTGAATTCAATATATCAGAAGGTACAAATTTCTTTAGTGTAAATAATGGAGAATTTTTACAAAAAATTTTTATTACATAAATGATTATATTTAATCTGTCTTAACTATTAAACATGTATTTTCTATAAACTTTTGTAATTAGTCATTTGAAGCAATAATATGATACTTAACTGTGATTGAATTTATTTTAATGAGCACTGTATCATTGAAAAAACAAATTTTTGATATTCGACAATAGAAATAAGATTGAAATGAATATCTGAAATATTCCAAATATATCACTTAAAATGATATATTCTAATGAATGATAAATTACAAAAAAAATGAGATCATCAAAATAATATGAACATTGTCTGATATATCAGAGAAAACATCAAATGAATATCATATTCTTAAAAAAATAAATAAGTAAAAAGCTAAAAGGGTTTAGATTTTAACGGTCTCCAAGAAAGACTCTTTTAAATGTTTAATAAGTTACTTACTTTATCAGTAGCAATTATCAATAGAGATGGTCTTGGTGGAATAGCGAAACATTTTATAAGATAGTGGATGGTTGTGCATTTAGACTAATATACGAGGGTTGGAACTTTAATAGTGGCAACTATTTATTTACAAGGAATACAAAAGTGATTCATGTCACCATATTTTACAGTCCTTCAATGTAGTCGCCAGCATTGTGTACAACCCGTTTCCAACGATATGGAAGTCGCAGAATACCTGTAGCAGCGCCTGTTTTGTTGATAGTTTGAATGGACCGGTCTACTACCGCAAGAATCTCAGGAACAGTTTGGAAGCGAGTGCCACAAAGTGGTTTCTTCATCTTAGGAATTAAGTCATAGTCACAAGGGCTTAGATCTGGGGAGAATGGTGGATGGTAAAGCACTTCCCAGCCCCATCGCTTGAACAAATCAGTTACAGCTTGCGCTGCATGCGGCCGAGCATTGTCATGCAAAATGAGAGGAGCGTTCTGCAGAAAGTGTCGCTGTTTTTCCTCAAAGCTGGTCGGAGATTGTGCTCCAAAAATGAGCAGTAATACTGCTCAGTGACGGTCTGCTGTGGGGGAACAGTATGCATTAGGATGACACCATCACAATCGTACATGAGAATCACCATAACTTTCACATTGCTGGAGTTCTGACGAAATTTCGAACGCCGTGGTGACCCGTGATGACGCCATTCGTTTGATTGGCGTTTCAGTTCTGGCTGGTACGATCGGGCCCAAGTCTCATCAAGTCAAGCGTAATGATACGGCGTAAAAATGTGGAACCCATCGTGAAGCAATTTTTCTCATGGACAGGCGTTCCTTCAGAATGTGCAGCACAGTCGTATGCGCTAATCCTGTTTTTCCGGCCAGCTGACGAATCGTTTGGCGACGATCACTGTCCATTAGTGCGGCAACAGCTTGCACATCTGCATTGCTGACACTCGGACGACCTGGCTGCAGCATGTTTGCCACGTTTTGGCGTCCTTCATTGAATGCTTTCACCCATCTTGCTACGGTTCTGTAAGGCAATGCAGATTCCCCGCAAGCCTCTTGAAGCCCTTGATGACACTGTCGTGCTGTATGACCTCTGGCACATTCAATTTTTATCCAACATCATTGTTCTTGTTTTGAAAACATCCTGACAACACTTACTTTAGACTGCGAGCTAATATAAGGAGCCGTTCTTCGCGTCACTCCGCATGCGCGTGACGTAGGCAGGTAGAGTCTTTTTGCTGAGAGGTAAGGTAGGTATGTAGTTTACGTGTGGTATACGCGATATTCTTTGGTTTTGTTGTGTAGCATTTTTTCAGCTGTGTTGCCACTATTAAAGTTCCAACCCTCGTATATACATTATGCATTTCAGTATGTTTGAAAAATAAAAAAATATGTAATAAAATTCTATAAAAATATTTGATGTTTTTAATAAGGTATATCATGAAATAAATGCATTTTTATTTAAATCAATTAGGTTAAACAGTAAAACAAAAGTACTATTTTTAAGAATTACATCAATTTGCTTTTAAATAGTTTAATTTGTTAATCAATAACAGACAGATTAAATTTACGAAATAAGTATATTATATTTTGCTGAATGGCAGCAGACTTGAATGAAAAGTGATACAATGCAATATAGTGTTCAAGAGTAATAGTCTTTTAGGCTGATAATATATAATAAGAATAATATTTCTTTAATTATCATAATAATACACTGAACTTTGAGATACTGCCTATTCCATTTATGAAAGGTTGGTCTGCCATGTCATGCACTTAAATTTTAACCTAACCTGAATACTGGATTGTTTATTCAGGTTTAAAAAACATCCAAAGAGTTATATTACTGGATATATAATCTAATTAAAAAAATTTTTAGCATATACATTCTTAAAAGGTTTGTTTGAAATTTCATATCAATATTGAATTGAACATTTTTCAAATTAATGCATTAAATTATTCTTTTAACGTTCTCTAGTCTATTGTTCATGCTGTTGGTGATGTTTTCTATAAAATCACATCAGAAGCACTTCTTGTTTTGCAACAACTTGTGAAAGTTATTAGACCTCTTGGTAAGTAAATTTTTTTAACTGTTGAGTTGGGAGTATTTATTATCAAACACCTTAGTATAATTAGCAGTTTTAATTAATTTAATTTTTGCAACCACGTAGAGTACAAAGTTTGAGATCCGGACGTCCAATATCCGGAATGATCTAAAATCCGGACCTCAAAGCAATCATCAACTTTAATTATTTATTTATTGAATTTTCATGTGCTTTATGCATGCACACTTGATTCCCCCTCACGCATGTGGATATCCCCAATTCTTAATTTCACTTCACTAAATAAAATACCTTGTTATTGAAGAATCAATCATTTTAGCATAAATTTATTTGATCAGTAATTTGGCTCCATAGCTGTGTATCTACTTGTCATATATCTCAAACCAAAACATTCTTCATAGCTAGGTCATTGATTTTACACCCACTAATATTTTATTTCCCTGACGAGTGAATCATTATTTATTATATTTTGCTCTCATCACCACATGTTTATCAACACACAACTTAAGTAATGACTCATGTAGCAATGCTAAGCATTTTTTTTATTAGCAATTAAATAACAAAGAGTATGGTAACGTTTTAGGTTGACATTACACTTGGCGATGATTACCAATATTGTACTAAAAAATGTTGACAGGAAAAATTAACAGAAATTTCTTTCCATATGCTAAAAATAAATTTTGTTAATGATACTTATAGGCCAAAAGATTACATTTAGTACTATTTGAATTAAGAATAACTGATTTGTTATTCACATAAACCCAGAACCAGCACCATAGCTGGTGTGGCCACACCAAGCGGCAGAATTTATGGAAGACAAAGGTGCTTGATAGCATGAATTTAGGACCCGCAGAGACTACATCAGGCGGTAAGATTTCTAGTGAAGGCCCTCAATAAGCCGTAAGTATATGTGGGAATTTATTTATTCAGGACTCGGATAAGCCTTAAGCATCTGCAAGGATCAGCATCTGCAGGAATAGGTGTAAGTATAATAAATAACTAAAATAATACAAATCAGGCTTAACTATCTTGGTGTGCGATAGAAGCAAGATAAAATTTAGCAGAACAACTTGTATTTAGTCGTCAATTTCATGATACATAGCCAAATATGTATAGTGAATGACAGTTAAATTTTATGATGATAGCCGTGAATCTGAAGGTTTTCAGATATCGCAATTTTTTTAATTAACAGATTTTGTAAAGAAATGTGAAGAAGCGGTAATATATGAAGATGATATAAAAGAAGTTTTTCATTGTGATGACAATGCTCCTAAATCAGCAATCAATTAACAGATGTTGAAATCTGTAGTATGGTACTAAATCCAGAAAATACTGCTACTATTAGTGAAGAAAGTGACAGAGAGGTTACTGAAAGCAAAAAAAAAAAAAAAAAAAAAAAAGTTTCGAGTGATAAGTTAATCGGAATTCTAGGCACAGCAATTACAGGATTTCAAATATGGAACTTTGTAATTGAACAAGAAATTTTGGTTTAATCCCAGTATACGGTACACACAAGATTTGACGACATTACTACAGGCTGTAAAGGCGACATTTATGATGAGCAGTAAACGGGTCATTTTGGTGTGGGGCGACAGTTTGCAAAATTGCAGCAAGGTGGTACCGTATACTAGGATTTTTCCAAAATTATGGCTGTCTACAGAATTAAAGAGAAAGTATTAGCACAAAAAATGAAGCAACTTAAACAGCATGAAAGAAATGTTTAATAAAGTAAACAAATAAATAGTAAACTTTTTGTTTCCTAAATTTTGATGCTCTTTAAATCATAAATGCTTCAATATTTCATAAATCACGATTTCATATTTTTAATTTTATTATTTCTACATGCCATCTTACTAAACTGATGATCTAATATCTGGAAAATTCTGGAATTGTGGAAGACCCGACGAGTCCAGATCTCGGACTTTGTACTGATTTAGTATAAATGTTATGTTCTTGATATTTTTCAATTATTTCATTGTACAGGACAATTATTAAAAAAGTATATTTTAAAATAGACATTTATTGTCTTGAAAACAGTCCTAGCTAGACTAGAAAACAATTATGTAACTTCAAAACGCAAACCTCGTAAATGTATTGTAGTTGAGTGAAATGTAAACTTTCGTAAAACTTTACTTTAAAAATTGTAATTAATATGTTATAAGATCTGTTCCTCTAATAAAAACTAACAAAAAATTTCAACTTATATATTAAAAGAAAGCAACATATCTGTCTAATGAACATCTCATATGATACAAATAATACTGTAATTTCTAGCATGTAATTCAACATTTTAAGCCTAAAATATAGTCTCTTAAAGAAAAAACAACCTTCATTTATATACTAGCTATGAAAATTAAAATCAGTTTTTATGTATGGGCCTGAGTTCACACTTAAGTAATGCTTTTGGTGACTTAGTGCCAGACAGAAAATTTAAATTTTGGTAATGTATTAAAAATTTACAGGGAACCTCACTAAGAAAATATAAAAGTGATGTACTGTCTTCTTTTATTCCAAAATAAAACATTGAATAAAAAGAAAGAAAGTAAAATAATAATAATAATAATGTAGGCAAATTTTTATTCAAGGAATAGTATTTGGAAAAGTAGTACGTCGTACTAAAACATGCTGTCAGAATATAAATTTATATCACCATTATCTTTGCTTTTTCATTAATATGAATATTTAAACTTTTTCTTTAAATTAGTCTTAAAATTTTCTCAATATAGTTTATCAAATCATATATAGGTCAGTCTTTCATACAAGTTATCAAAAATGAAATCACTCATCGTCACCAAAAAATAAACAATTTATTTTATCATTATTTGCCACTTACAGCGTCTCATCATAAGGATTCCATTTGGTGTCTCAATTAAAGCATTTTTCAGATTTGTTTTTATGTGACTGGTTATTTTCTTCATCATAATTTTATTTACTTTTTTTTGGTAGCTGAAAGGGGGAATTTGCCCAGAAGGCTATTAATTTTGTTTTGGCGTTTTGCATTGGTTCACTATAAACAACGAATCACTTTTTAATGTGTTGCCACCAAGTATTAGGTGTTGGTGTCTCAATTAGAGCATTTTTCAGATTTGTTTTTATGTGACTGATTATTTTCTTCATCATAATTTTATTTACTTTTTTTTGGTAGCTGAAAGGGGCAATTTGCCCAGAAGGCTATTAATTTTGTTTTGGCGTTTTGCATTGGTTCACTATAAACAGCGAATCACTTTTTAATGTGTTGCCACCAAGTATTAGAACCCTGTATTATATTTAAAGAAATTAAATAATGAAGAATCTGCATAAATGTATGTATTTTTATAGCATTGTGATAAAACAACGGTCCATAGAGCCATCAAATTTTGAGTGACTTATTTCTACAATAAGCCATCAAATTTTGAGTGACTTATTTTCTTTCTATTATTTTGAGTTCTCCCTCAAATATGGGTATCTGGAAGCCCAAATTTGGAAGTTGTTTTATCGATTTCATATTTTGTAAAAATTTAATGAATTTTACCCTATTCAGTGTCATATGCTCATTAAAAGCAAAAATTCTTGCTTATTTTTTACTTCTAACTTTTTCATGTCTCAAAGCTTGTGCAGTTATTTTAAATCTTGGCAAATTTTTTTTTAATAGTTACTGCTTTCTCATAGCATAAAGTAGTCGAAAAAGACACATATGTTAATGTACAAGTTTCTTAGCCAGAAAACATTACAATAAAATAAAGACTTGAAACAAATTTTATAGCGACTAATTTTGCTACAATGAAACCATGATGAAACATTTGTTTTTGCAATATTATGCAATCACAATAGTGTAAAATGCTAGATTTGTAAGATGCAAATTAAAAGCATGATATTTCATTTGATGATTCAATGTTGCTAATGGTGCAAGAATGTTCCTCCAAATTTTCAAAATAACAGTAATTAAATAATTGAGAATATGTTGTTGGGCTGTGCTGTCTCAGCCTTTCATATCTTACACACTTAGCTTCTTGCCTGCCGCTGACAGTCAGTGCATATACAGCACCCTCTAACTGAATGGTGGAGGAATAATATAACACATCATAAAAGCTGAAGTTTTTAAATATTAAAGATGTGTGTATCTGTTGTCTGTTTTTAAATACATCTTTTCCCATTATATATTTTTATTTTAAATGCTTATTAATTAATATTGTTTTAAAATCTATTATTATTTATAGATCAGCCTTCAGTATTTGATTTTGCTCCTTTTGTTCCTCATCTTTATGAATGCACATTAGTGCGACTGAGAGCAGCTGATATTGATCAAGAAGTTAAGGAGAGAGCAATAGCATGCATGTAAGTTAATGTTTTAAAATGTTAATAAAATTGAGAAGTGAATTTCTATATATTCTCTTATTGTATTTTTTTCACAAATTGTTTACATGCATGCATTGTATAGTTTCGACTGCCGTATTATTGAAAATAGTTTTTACTTACTTGAGTATCGCAGGAAATATAATAAATAATTAATGCACTGAATTGTTCCTAAAATATTCTTATTAAGTGTTAATTGCTTTTTAATGAAATGTATTGCAGATCTTAGTTTAATTTTTTTAACTATCGCTAATTAAAATATGTTAAAGTGTATATAAAGAATGTTTAAAATATAGAATCCAACTGCAAAGGATGGTTTATAAAAGTAACCTTATGAAGATTTAAAAATGTGTTCAGTATACAAACATTATTCTGTATCCAGATATTTAATATATGGTGTTAGAAACATGTTTAATTCCAAGAATGGTATAAATATTCATAAAAATCATAAATTCAGTTATTTTTTATAAAAGCTGGATGCATTAAACATTGGTTTTTTGGAGCAGTGCCTTTCATAAAGGATATGGTCTTAAGTCCTCAGAAAGTGCAGATGATGTTAGAATTCTTCTTCCAGAGCCATTTTTTATTTTCATTAATTTATAGTGATAATACTTAAAATCCATCTCTGCAGCAGTTGCACAAATTAACTCTGGAGGCTCTGTTCATGTGCCGATGAAGATTGAATATTCTTGCAATATAGGATGTGCTGCTGAATAATGCATTTAAGGAGGTACTGTCGTGCTTTTCAGAATCTGTGTTAACTAAGTGTAGTAAAGGTATGTCAGAATCGTATTTCATAAACTTATGAAGGGAGTTCCAAACTATAGCATTACTTTTTATTCCTTGCATATAAAAGACTTATCATCATGTTATACGTGCATTGCATATATTAAGTCAAAATGGTGTATCCAGTAGATGAGGTCATGACGAATGGTGCTGCACAAAGGTTGAAAATTATTAATGCTTCTGATTTAATGATGAATGTGGAAGATCAGATTGATCTTCCAATAGATGTTTCACATACTCGCTCATGTTTGATCAAAGAGAAATTTGATCTTGTTGATTTCCTAATCAAGACTTTACAGGACATTAGTAGATTTCAGCACAAAGCAAAATATGAAGGAAATGTTTCTAATGATTTTGATGATGAGTGATTAGTGATGCAACTGCACCGCGATGGATTTTCCCCTGACTCGTAAAGCTGCCAGAGATACTGCCGTTTGACCTAGCAGATGATAGCTTCATTTTCTTTTTATTCTTTTGAGGTCTGCTTTGTCACAGGCGATGCTGACTGTAGTGACTTGAAATGCATCCCTGACTTGCATATTAACACTAAAATAAAAACTGACAGTGCCCATCTTGAAATGGGCCCATCTACTTCTCTAACTGCTGTACTTTCCAAAGAAACCTAAGACAAGCCTGATTATCTTAACATCAAGCCAAAGACGAAAAGTAAAGATTGCACAGCAGTTTCAGACTCTCTCAAAACCACTACTAATGAGGATTCGCATTGGAGCGCTGATGTTAGAGAAATTTCATCTAATGTTCCCACTAAAACACTTGCAGTTGTCTGGAGGAATTAGACTCTGCTGATTCCACAACAGCATCACCTCCTACCCCAAAAGCAAGCTACGTAAAAGAATTTATGCCTGCTGCCCATCATATGCTGGCAGTCCCAAGAAATAACGTAGATCTCTTTTGAATGAAAACATCAAGGATTACACAGGCATCGTAAAATGTGATGATTTGCTTGAATTTTCATAATGGTGACACCAAAGAATGAGCTGTGGAGTCTCTTCTCAAGAATGAAATCCAGTTTTGTACATTCCTTACAAAAGAACAGTCACTGTTAAAGTTGTCATTCTTCTCCACAGATGAAGACCCTATTTCCTTAAGAAAGGAGCTAAATTACAGAACTACCTGGTTGTTAATCTAAAACAGTTTACAAAAAAGACCATGAATGGAACCATTAACCTTTCTATCCTTTTCATAAAACTCAAGTGCAATGATAAAAGCACTAGGATTTATCATGAAAAATACCTACTGTTCCTTTCCATCAAAATTAAGAAGTACTGTCGTAGAAAAGTTCCCCAAACCTGTTTTAGATGTCAATACTTCGCCCATAGACAGACTGAATGCAATAATCTCCCAAGGTATCCGTGATACTCCCATGATCACTTGTCATATACCTGCATTCTCCAGAGGGATACGAAGCCAACATGCATCAATTTTAAATTTGATCACTTTGTTATCCTTAACGAATGCCTTTTGCAGCCCAGTAATAGATGTCAAACTGAAATTTATCCACAAGTCCACTTAAGATGTGAACAAATTCTATAATCCTGGGTCTCCTGCATCAAGAAATTAAACTGCTGATGCCTCCTCTCCTATACATATGCCAAATACATCTATTCAAAATTGAATTCTGCAAGTTTATTTATGACTCTGGATTCTCAAAATTAATGAGACTGTTGAGCTTTGCTCCCCAGAAACCAACTCACTTCATGATCTCTCTCTTTCAGCAATGATGTTATACTTTTAGGATTTTTTCTTAGCTCTCAACAGATGATGCCACTTGCATGATTCAAAATTCGTTAGTTTTCACCAGAATTTGTTTTTAATTATATGTTTCATGACTCCCTCTTGTCGGGATTCCTTGCTGATGTCCTTCTGAACACTTCTGACACTGCCTTTCACTGTGAGACTAGATTCCCCCCCCCCCGTATCACTAAGTTATGTTTTTAAGCTCATAGGCAGAAGTGCATATCTTCTGCCTTTTATACAGTCAAGTTCTCCAATCCAGGAGAAACATGATAAAATCTTTTAATCTCGGGCTCGGAAAGGAAAGCGCTGGGAAGTACTACCATTGTAATAAAAGCTGACAATAATAAAGAAGTATAACAGTGCAACTGAAGTTGTACTTTTTTTAAATTCTATATCACTTAACTATAGAAGCTTCTACATGTTATTAATATTGTTTGAAAATTATTTGAAACTACAGTCAAAAGTCGTTAATTCGGACACCCATAATCCGAAATGATCTATAATCCGGACCTCAAAGCTAAAACCTTTCTGCGCATGTGCCGCGTTGACACATGCGCATAGGCATTTACACGTGCGCGTAAGACCTCTTACGACTGCGCATTTGCGTGTGCGCAAGCGCGGAATATGTTTTCGCGTGCGCGTTTTATGTATAACGAACAGTATAAGCTAAAATTATCTAATTATCTATTTCAGTTAATGTTGATGATTGCGTTGTTCCTTAATTTTCGAATTGGATCCGGCTTATTATTTTTTGCAGACTGTAAGAGCAATACTATAAAAGTGAACTTGAACTTTCGATTATGTCAAATAGAATTTCTGAATCTGGAGCTCCCAAAGGATCGTACAAAACGAAAGTATATTTCGATGTCCATCAAACAAAAAGTGGAATTGTTGCAAAAATGGATAAAGACATGAAGAATGTGACAGAGAGGTTAGTGAAAACGAAAAAATTTCGATTGACAAGTTAGTCGGTATTCTCGGCACAGCAATTAACGGGACTTCAACAGCGGAACTTTGTAACTGAACAAAAAATTATGTCTGTTTATAGAATTAAAGAGAAACTATTATCACATAAAACGAAGCAACTTAAACAACTTACATTGAAAGAAATGTTTAATAAAGTAAACAAATAAATATTAAGCTTTTTTTTGTAAATTTTGATACCTTTTAGATCATAATTGTTCTTTATTTCATAAATTATGATTTCATATTTTTAATTTTAGAATTTCTGCATGCCATCTTACGCGATTTAAACTAATGATCTATAATCCGGAAAAATCGATAATCCGGAATCGCCAAAGTCCCGACGCGTCCGGATTAACGACTTTTGGCTGTATATATTTTGAATTTTACAGGGGTCAGATAATTTGCAATCTTGGTGATCATCTAACAGCAGAGCTTCAAGTTTGCCTTCCTATTTTCTTAGACCGTTTGAGGAACGAAATCACTCGACTAACAACTGTAAAAGCTCTGACTAAAGTTGCTGGGTATGTTTAGATTAATCATGAATATATTCGTTTATGCATTTTGTATTTTGAAATAAGTCTCATGTGTGTTTTTTCTTTTACAGTTCTCCTCTTAGAATAAATCTGAAGCCAATTTTGGCAGAATCAATGCCTATTTTGGCATCTTTCCTTCGTAAAAATCACAGAGCTTTGAAACTAAGTACTCTTACACTTTTGGACACACTTGTTAAAAATTATAGTAAGTATTTTAATTATTAAAATATATGAATGATATAAAATATTCTGTAATTTAACTAATACTTTAAATTCATATATTCTGGATTCATTTTTCATTTATACTTCTAAAAGAACCTTTTTTGTGTAATCAAAAATTTATAATAATAATTAATAGTAATAAAAAATTTCTTAGTTTTAACAGGTTTTTTATAATACAGGGTCTTCCAATACCCTAAGCATAATATTGCCGTAAAAGTTTTCTAAACCAAAATGACATGATGCAAAGAATTGCTTATTGTTGCTTTACTAGGAAGTCCCACCTTGGGCTAACTAATGCTTGTTAATTCTTGAAGGTATAACTTTGGGTGTTTCTGCTGATAGCTAGTTTCCTTTAAGTGAGATTTCTTCTGATGCAAGGATGATTCATTCACCCAACATGAATCTGACACCTATTACCATTCAGCTGACAGTTATTTTGATAATCTTGCCATTATTTTTTTTCAGTGCTTTTGTTTAGCAGTTATTTTTTCAAATAGGGATCTAGTATACTGTTTGTGATAGTCCTGATTCATCTAATATTATCTATTTCAGATAGTTATGTTTTGGAGAAACCAGAATTGGCTGTCTTTGCTGCCAGTGTTTTTGGTGTCATCTGTTGATCAGAGTAATGTTTGTAAAAATGGTGTCTCAATGAAATTTTTGGGTTCTAGAACCAACCTGTATCGGAAGCTGGTTACAAGATTAACAATTAAGAAATAAAGTGCATTAAAGGTACTCAGTCATTCAAGAATAATGATATGAAAGCATTAATATTTCTTTTAAGCTTGCAGAAAATTGTAAAATAAGTTCTTAAGCTGGTAGAATGAAAATGTGATACAAACAGCAGGTTTGCCATGCTACCTGGAAAGCTGGAAAAAGTCAGGAAATTCGAAAATTAGCCAAAAAAGTCAGAGAATGTCATACGGCGATCCCCAAAAAAGTGAGTTTTGCGCCAATTTTGGAAGCGATCACTTTGTTGGTGAATTATGTATCGGATGAGCATCATTCGGGCAGCCGGCATAGAGTCAATTTTCACAGCTCGAATCTGATTGTCTTTTAGAAAGAAGTTTCGTGTTTCCGGCAAGTTTGGTTTCCAGTAACTTCGAGAATCCTAAGACTCACATGTGCAGTACATGTTGAACTAAAGAAAATAATTTCCATTCTCGTATACAACAAAATCGGTTTAATCCTAATATATGGTACTATAGAGTCTAGAATAGCCACCATGTACTCTGTTTTAATGATGAAGAACGTCTATGTAAAGAAAGAATTTCATAGATGTAATGTAAATCAGTTTGCTATAGTGCGGCTAGAAAGCGGAGGGAAAAACTCGCCAAGGGATGTAGCGACGGAACCTGACGGCGAAAATTTCCCCCTCTTCGATGTGTACAGGAAATTGTGGAGTATGTGTTAAGAAGAAATGTTCTTTGACTTTCGCTATAATTTATACTCGGATTTTCGTAATTCTTTTGCTCAAAATAACTACCGTAATTTCCGGATAAAAGGCCGCATCACCATAAACGCCACACTCGAGAAAAATGGCGGGAAAAAAATTAAAATTACACAGAAACGCCACATCAGCATAAACGCCGCAATAGATTAAATTGCACGTGACATCGTCGTGGGCCGTAAAGATGCAAAATCTCAACCTAAGTCCTGATATATGACATACCAGTAAAGAAAAATGCATGAAATGAAACCATAACTCAAAAATAAATTAAAGGTAAGGAATGTGGAAAATATATTTACCTTCACGTATATACTTATAATTACTAAAGTCCATATTTGTAATACTCAGACTATATTATAAAAAATGCTGCAACAACGAAATATTAAATTTGGATGACAAAAGGAAATTTTACTTACAAAAGGAATTACAGCAAACTATACATCATATGAAGCCATCAAAACCTGATTCTTCACTATCTGAATTAAAAAAGATTTAGTAAATCCTGATCTAAGTCCAAGTCTTCCAGATCATTCATCCTCTTGGTTTACAGTCTCTTTATCTAAGGATATAATTTCAGCTTCTTTGAACCCTGCTATTATTGACAATGTTTTTTTACCGATTTCCACTTTGCAACTTCCTACCCACTTCCTACCCACTTTGCACTTCCTACCCACTTTGCAACTTCTTTATAAGATGCTCTACGCATTTTACCGCTTTTGGTATACGTATGCAATCCTTCACTCATCCAGCACTCCCACCGCTTCTGGATTTCAGCTTTGAAGGATTTATTACCTGACAAATCTAATGGTTGTAAGATTTTTGTCAAACCACCAGGAATTATTGCTTCGGTCGTAGACAATTTTTGACATCTGGTTTTCACCAAGCAAATGAGCATGCATGGAATCCATTATCAACAACCCTTTTGGTTGGAAAAAAGATCCTATACGACACAGCCAAACTTTTTGTAGCCACTCATGCATGATTGTTTTGTACATCCAGCCATTCTCATTTGCACAAATAATTACGTCATTAGGAAAATCTCCCTTCGGAATATTCTTTTGTTTAAAAATTATCAATTGCATTAGCTTGTTACCATACCTGCCAACTTTTACGAATTTTTCGTAATTTTTATGAAAATGCGTTCGTCTTTACGATTTTACGATCGTATTCCATTTTTTATGATTTTTTTCCTTTTTCAAGTGTTTTTAGTGATTTTTGTCAAAATTTTAGAATTTTTCGCCAATTCAGCGATTTTCACCAATTGCATCGTGTTTAACCGCCAACTACCGACTACTTCGAATCCAGTAACCTGCGGTTTTCTCCCAACTCGCCGCTTAACCAGCCAATCCAATGCGCTGAACTTGTTTCTCCCACTCTTTTCTTTGTGGGCGCCAGATTATTTTTTTTTTCGCTTCAGCAGCAAGGGAATTACTGTCAGCATTCTGTTTTTTTTTTTTTTTTTTTTTTTTTTTTTTGTTTTGTTTGCACGTGCTACGAATTTTCTTAATACGTCGTTGTTACGAAATGAGTTAAAAAAAAACCGTATTCTCAATATTTTCGGCCTGCCTACAAAGCCGAATTTCCAACAATTAAAGAATCCTTCAAAGGAAATAACTATGCATTTTGCAACGTGTGCGTGTGTGACTTCATAATAAGTCACGGTGGAAGAAGCGACATTGTGAAGCATGTTAAGTCTAAAAAGCATGAAGTTAATGCTTCGGCTTCGACAACGTCAAAGAAAGTGATGATGTTTTTTTTTTTCAAATTCGGCTACGAATTCGGATGCCGATGTCATTTTGGCAGAGTGTTTGTTTACTGCATTCCTCATCGAACACAACGTGCCGCTAAGCGCTGCCGATCACGCCGGTCAACTTTTCAGACGGATGTTTCCCGACTCCAAGATTGCTCAGAAATATGCTTGTGCTCGCACGAAAACATCTTCTATTGTGAACGAAATTGCTTGCGATGCACAAAGTAAAACGATAGCTGCACTCCAGAATTCAGCATTTTCGGTGTCAATCGATGGCAGCAACGACAGCGATTGGAAGCTTTACCCCATCGTTGTCACATATTTCTGTGATGTTTCTAATGAAATGAAAACTCATCTTTTGCGTCTTCCATTGTTAAATGGAGACGCTACGGGGGAAAATATTGCCTCCTTGGTAATTAATGAGTTGAAACAACTTAACATCCCAATATCAAACTGCATTTCATTTGGTGCAGATAATGCTCATGTCATGGTGGGTGACAAAAAGGGGTGTAGCCTCTTTCCTCAAAAAAGAACAAAATGAATTAATTGTTATTGGATGCCCATGCCACTTAATTAATTTGGCAGCAGAAAAAGCTGCAGCTGCTTTACCATTAAATATTGACCAGCTTCTGATTGATGTGTTTTTCTATCTGGAAAAAAGTGTAAAAAGGAAAGAAAACCTAAAGAATTTCCAAGAACTGTGCTCTGGTGAAACGAGAAAAATTCTGAAACATGTATGCACGAGATGGTTATCCTTAGGCAGAGCGCTAGGAAGGTTTATTGAACAGTGGGATGCATTGCTAAAATATTTCCACGAAGAGACCAAAACGAAACCACAGATCCCATCAAATTTGTCGGCATATAAGATTCCGAAAACCAACTTTGCTTCTAATCAAAATGCTTTAAAAGGGAAAAGCCAACACACAGAATCAAACCCTTTAAAAAGAAAATGCTTAGAAGACTCCTCAAAGGTCAACTTTGTTAAAGAAGTTGAAGGGAAGAAGAAACAGTCTTCTATTAGCCGGGAGGAAAGGATTTTCTATCTTCTTTCTTCGGATTTGAACAAAGCATATTGTAGTTTTGTGTTAAGTACCATTAAGATTTTTGAAAGTGTAAATACCCTTCTACAATCAGCTTCGCCAAAATCTCCCCTGCTTATCCAAATTCTTAATGATCTTTTGAAAGAACTTTATACTAAGTTTGTAAAACCGTCCGTTGTGAAAAACAGTGTGTTGATTCGTGTTGCCTATAATAGTTTGGCAAATCAAAAGGATGACAATGATCTTATAATTGGAAATCAAACCAGGGAACTTGTAAATTCTTTGAAAGATCATGAGAAAAAAAAGAGTTTTTTCAGTGTGTTAGAAAGTACTTTTCCTCAGCCTGTGGTTACATTGTAAGGAAGTTTCCTTTGCAAAATGAAGTTCTTTTAAATGCTGATGTGGCAAATATGAAACAAATTGAAAATTCATCTTTTGAAAAGATTCGTTTTTTTATTGATAAATTTCCATTTTTGTTAACAATTAAAGAAAATGAATGCCATAATGATGCTTTAGATGAACTACAGAACCA